CATCACATAAATCAGCCACGAGCTTTCCATTGATATCACTATTTTCTTTTTCGACTTAATATTAAGCAAATTACGCGCATAGCAACGGGATCATATCCACATCCTCACATTTCACATTATATCTGAGCAGTGTGAGATTTCGTTTTCGAAGTTGGCAGCAGTGCGCTCCAACCTCACGCGCAGAGGAGAGAGATTTGAATAGCGCATTACTCTTTCTCTCCTTCTTGAATTCTACTGATTNGCCACGAGCTTTCCATTGATATCACTATTTTCTTTTTCGACTTAATATTAAGCAAATTACGCGCATAGCAACGGGATCATATCCACATCCTCACATTTCACATTATATCTGAGCAGTGTGAGATTTCGTTTTCGAAGTTGGTAGCAGTGCGCTCCAACCTCACGCGCAGAGGAGAGAGATTTGAATAGCGCATTACTCTTTCTCTCCTTCTTGAATTCTACTGATTTGCATTTTTTAGACTCATCATCGACTTATTGTAAAAATTAATGAAAAATTTATGAACAAGGTCGTATAGCGCTGTATATTGAAAGGAAATTTTTCCCCTATCCTCGATTAATTTAGATTTTCAACTCAGTCCGTGAATAACGTGTGGGCGAGTTTATTTCTGAGGTTATTTTACGCGGGTAATTTGCACGGTCGATTTTCTCATGAAATTCTCAACTCGAATCGGGGCATGAATTATAAATAAATGTAGGAAATAAATACCTTTTTTTCTTAGAGCAGAAGTGATTGAAAATAGTTTCTGTCGCGCGGAAAAAAATCAATTCGATTCATGCGAAAATGATCGTGTGCTCGTTTTGGAAAGATGACTGAAATCTCCCAAAAAAACAAAAACAAATGTTTTTGCAAAAAAACAACGCCAAGAAAAAGTTTTGTGGGGTCGTTTCTGAAAAGAAGAAACATTTTTTTCTAGAAACCACAATTCCCATAGAAATTTTGCAAAAAATAAACAAATAAAAATCAAAGCTAAGTCAAGAAATGTCCAATGGATCATGGAATGTGCTATCAGATTATTATGGGGAGGATAACTCCGAATAGAAGGATTCTCAAAAAAATCTTCATAAAGTAAAAAATTCAGTAGAGACAGGATTCAAAGTTCTTGGCGCGGAGTTTTCCAACTCATTGTCTCGTATCAATCTGTATCTTCTGATCCGTGTCAAGAACTTTGAATCCTGTCTCTACTGAATTCTTTATTTTATGAGGATTTTTTTGAAAATCCTCCTATTCGGAGTTATCCTCCCCATAATAATCTGATAGCACATTCCATGATCCATTGGACATTTCTTGACTTAGCTTTGATTTTTATTTGTTTATTTTTTGCAAAATTTCTATGGGAATTGTGGTTTCTAGAAAATAGTATATTTCAGTGGGAAAGACGCTGGAACACTGAAATATACTATATACTGGAAAGGGCACTGAGCCGCCCTAAGCGAGCAGAGAGAGAGGTTCGATTTTGGGGGCCACCTGTCTCTGTCGTACCATATACTCCAAAAGGATTCCCTTACCTTGGACAACGTATAGAACGTTTAGCATTGGCATTCAGTTCTTTTTGGTTGCATATGTCATTTTTGTTCAAATTCAAACTCATAACATGTGATAGTTGAAAACTTTATTCTTTCCCAATGTATACTGATACATGGGATATTTACAATTCTATTACGAATAAATTGACATGGAAAAAATACATATGAATATACAATTCAATAGATTGAATTCTCTCTAAATTCTAATTCTCTTAGAATTCTTTAATGCCTAAAGGAGTTTAGGCGGCGTATGAGGTGAATTTGAGAGTGAATTTCTGTGGTTCCCGGTAGCTTAGTCGGTAAGAGTGCCCCGTGCGTATCTGGGAGACCCGGGTTCGATTCCCGGCTGGGTGAAGCGGAAATTTTTTCTCTCTAAATTCTAATTCTCTTAGAATTTTTTTTTTGTCAGATTAATTGAATAAAGATTCAATTAATCTGACTGGAAATCGAAATCCTCTGAGTCAGTACCGTCCTCAGTATTCGGAATTTCAAATTTCGGTATGTCCAATATAATTCCTGAAACAGAAGGTTGAAATTCGAATGATATCAACTTTTATTTTAAGAGGAATTAATTCCTCAAATTCAAGAAGATGCCTCGAGTTTCTGATCTCTATTTGATCGTATGGTATGTTAAGTTAATGTTGGAAAACCAACTATTAGAACAATTTTGCAGGCAACAATTTTTCACCATTTTGGTTTCAATATCATTTCACCACTATGAAAGTATTATACACATGAGTATTGTCTTTAATTTTTTATTTGACTACTTCTTGCGTATCTAACAATTTTTGTTTATCCTTCTAGCATCAAAACAATCTTTAACACATAAATTCACTGCACATAACTCAATCTAAGCTTCTCAACTCGCTTGTACCGTGTGTCACTTGGCACGTTACGCACATGCGCACCGTCGAGAGAGTGAGAGAGGGGGCCCCCAAAATCTACTTCTCTTTGGCTCGTTTTCCGTTTACGAGTCTAGCATTGCAGTGCCCTTTCCAGTATTCATGTGTATATTTCAGTGCGCTGGAAGTATCACGAAATTGGGGTTAAAAAATTTTCCGTCATTTTTGACGAAAAAAAAATTCATCCTAGAACATCGTTTCACATATCATTTTTGTGTGGAATTTTCACGTCTACAATTGGGTATTTTTTTTTTCAATCCATTGAGTTTGGTCGAAACTACGAATGTTTGTGTCATTAATCCCAGAAAAATAATTCGTTTTCAATTTTTTTCAATATTTTCTGCACCGATCTGTTTTTGATCATTTTGATATATTATTCAGGATATTTTCATCAATCGAATTGATATTTTTTCATCCCCGGTGAAATAATTACTCAGTTAGGGAATTTTTGCGTCTAATTTGACTAGACTACAACACATGATCGATTTAAGAATCAATTGTCATTGAAAATTAAATTAAACAATTGAAGAATGTTTTTTCCACTATAACATGTGGAATTAATAAAAATCCCCATGTTCATAGGGAATAAAAGGCTGAAAAATTAATTGAATCGTGAATTACATTAGAGGAATCAAGTAATTTATTAAATAGTGAAATCAATTGTTGTAACACATTATGGGAAAGTGTTCCTTTACTCTCAGCACTCCAAACGTGTGTGAGTAATGTGTGTATCCCTCTGCGGTTGGTGACTGCGCAGTAAACAGTCCTTGCTCTCGCACGTTTTTCGTACTCCGCGTGTCCCATGACCTCTCACCCTCACTTTACTTGGGCAACGCCCCGCTAGCGATAGAGTATGGATGTCCGCAACCGCTCACTTCGTGGAATTTGTAGCTCCGACGTGGTGAAGTTAAGGAGATTCTACTATATTATTAAGGATATCTCAGTACTTTGGCTACTTTTTGTCCAGTCAAACATTTTTCTACTTTTGCAGTGGAACATCAGGGCTTTTATTTTCGGACATTTCACAATGATTTTATTATTTAAACATTGTTGGGGACCCGGCGCGCTAGTGTCGGTACTGGTTGTATTCATCGAGGTGCTCTAGTATTTATTTGATTATATGTGGTAAAATCAAATTAATTGTTTTCAATTTATATTCTAAAATCGCTAGTGGGCTCCATAGATGCCTTACGTAATGAAAAATTTGGTGGTATCTGAAAGTTTCCTGGCCTATCAGAAATTCTTCCTGGGCATTCACTGAATTTGAGGTTATATTTACTTATGAGGGTATGATTGATAAACCCCCTTGCCCTGAGACTGTGTCTCCTAGGCGTTGGCTAGATCAAGCAATCCCCCTTTCATCGGAAGATAAGGAAGAGGAATTTCTCTCCTTCGAGCAACAATACAACGATCTCGTCTCAGAGCATCAGTGCTCCATACCTATACCAGAGCTTCCTCAACCCTTTGGTGAGCCCATTTTCTCTTCAAGCACCCAGCTCGACCCCCAAAAGTGCACCAACAGCGAAAAGTAGCACTCAAAACAGAAGAAGAAGACGAAATTTGGCTGATACATTAATTCTCAAGGGGCGCACTGAGTCCCTGACAACTCTGTCTGAATTCATCCACCGAAAGAAAAGAAAAGTACCTGACCTGGATCCGGATCTCTACTCCGCTGACTTGGCAAATGATCACACATTGAAAAAGCTCAACAAGTCGCTTAGTGAGCCTACAATTCAGACTGATTGTTCAACGATGCTCCCCGCGGGTTACCCTCCGGGCTCATTACTTAAATCCAGTGCTCTCTCTCTTACCAATCAGTCTCTCCCTAGTACCTCTCCTGTCCCCACACAGGACCTGGAGACGCTCCTCCAAAATGGTTCAGACCGTGAAGTCATGGCTACAATTCTAACGAAGCTTAATGACCTCTGTGCTTCAGAAAAGGCAAGAACTGTGGCGCTGGAGAACTCCATGAGAGAGAGGAATAGGTTTGTCAAAAAACAGCTAGATGACTTCAAAACATTCATTGAGAAGAGGGATCAGTGGGCCAACGAACAGATTTCGTCTTTATCAAGTAAGATCCTACTAGAATCTCAGTTCAAAGAGTTTAACGGATTAACCTCCTCCCAGCTGTCACAAAGAGTAGAGACTCTGGAGGCAAACGTGAACCTCAATGCCCCTTTGGCCCTGAGGATTGAAATTAGTGAACTGAAGAGACAATTGAACAACCACGAAAAGACTCTAAGAGCTAACAATATTGTAATTAGGGGCCTGGAATTTGATGCTGACACTCCCAAAATCGCGGTGGCTCACTCCTTGCTCGATAACTTTCAAGTACAAGAGGCAACCGTGGACGTGAGAGTAGTGGATGACAAATGCAAATTCCTAATTGCTAAACTTATAAACTCCGAACTGAGGGACAGGATCATCAAAAAGAAATCTAAATTGAAGGAGAACCGCAACTGAAAAATTTTAATCAACCCTGACCTCACGCTGGGAGACTCTGAAATCTTCCACTCCATCAGAGCGACGGCTAAGAAACACAGGGAGGATGGAATGATAGTGAAGATCGGCTATAACAAGCTCTACGTGGATGGTGTCTTGTGGACCTGGGACTACACCGTGGATGGCTTGGTCCAGAGATCTGCTGCCTCTTCTCCTAAGAATTCCAAATCGCAGCCTAGAACAAAACCAACCCAGGAAAAAAACTCAACTTCCCTCAGCACCATCAATGTTACGTTCTGGAACTCTAACGGTATGAATGACGTTTTACTCAATAATTTTGGCACAAATATGAACATTATCTGTTTTTCAGAGATTATGTTTTAAAAGAATCCCCGCAATTTAATTCCCTCATCCCTCAGAAGCTATACCAATTAGTGGTCTCTCGCAGTAAAGGACAAATCCAGAGGAAGAGGAAGTGGTGGTCTGTTGTGCCTGATTAATCCCTTGTTCGAGGCTGAGCTAATCGAGCATACCCCCTGGTGGATATATTTCCGTCTCAAAGCTGGTACTCAGCAGATTATAGTTGGGTCTCTGTACTTCACACCTTCGCTTCCCCTGGACCCATGTGCTTGAACTCTTCCAACTTTCGCCCGATGCTGTCCAGGATCGATTCGATTCAGATATTACCATCTTGGGAGGTGATGTCAATGCCACAGTTGCGGCCTTCGATGATGATCTCCCAACTGAGGTCGTTCAGAGGTCCAAATTGGGAGAACAAAGAGAGTATTTGGTCCGGAAGACTGATGTGAGAGGTGAGCTGGTGATGAACTTCATGATTGAGAATGGATTTACCTTAGTGAATGGAAGAACGCTCTCTGACTCTCCTGCCAGATTCTCCAGTTCTAGAGCACTCACTACCTATGATTTGATCTGGGTAAATACGACCAGTGCCGGTTCAATTGAGGATTTGAAGATCTCGTCGAATCTCCTAGGATCTAACCATCTACCACTGCATTTAATGCTCTCGCTACAGAATGTACTATCGTCTGGTTCATCTGATAGGCCTCTTCCGGCGTCACTGAATAGATACTCTAGGCCGGCTGCATCAACCCAGAAAATTCTCAAATGGGATCCGAAGAAATGGAGTGAGTACACTCTACATCTCACCTGCTCACGTCGAATCCTAGAGGCTAATCTAGCTCACGACGCAAACGAACTGAACGAACTGATAACCTGGGCGCTTAAAGAGGCGACCTCTCTGTCCAGGATGAGTAAAAATCCAAGATCATCTTTTACCACCACACCTAGGCCTCATAGCTCTCCCTAGTATGATCTAAGTTGTGAAAGGCTGAAATTAGAAGCAAAAGCACTGTATAGAAAGATTTATAATCCTGAGTACAATCAGGAGAGGGCACGGGCGTTTGACGAGAATAATAAAGAATATAAAAATTGGATTCTGGCGAGGAAAGGAGAATACAAAAATGCTGTCATCGAGAAATTTGCCAATGTTAAATCCCAAACGATCTTCTGGAAAAATTACTGTGAAGCTAAAGACTGGATACCTGGTCTCGAGACCATCTCGCTGGCTGAGTGGAATGATTTCATCCGCCGTACCTATTCTGCTAGGGAAATTAAACAATTGGAGCTCGCCGATACCTCAAATGAAGAGTTGGACTATCAGATCTTGACTGAAGAGCTGAAATATAGCATCAACTCTATGAAGGCTGGTAAAGCACCAGGGGAGGACTCAATTTCCTCCAGTTTTTACAAATTTCTCTCTCCAGAGTGAGAAACTCTACTTCTTGATCTTTTCAATAAAGTTCTGGTCTCTGGTGTGGTCCCAGGATAGTTTTGAGAATGATCTTCAAGAAGGGAGAGCAGCGAGATACTCTCAACTATAGGGGAATCACTCTTATCAACAACATCACGAAGCTCTTCACCAGCATCATCAACACCAGACTTTACAACTGGGCTGAGAGGCTCCACATCATTTCTGAAGAGCAAGCAGTCTTCAGGCGACACAGGGGTGCCCTGGATAATTTGTTCTCCCTACAAGTCACCATCCAGAATAGACTGAGGCTTCCAGGCGGTAAAGTGTATGCCTTATTCGTGGACTATCGCAGGGCTTTTGATGCAGTCCCACAATTCCAGCTCTGGAGCAAGCTTCTCGACATGGATGTTAGCCCCAGGCTGATCAAGGTAATCAAGAACCTCTACGACCACTCCACAATGCATATCAGGATACCAGAGGGCTGTACCGAGGACGTTGACGTGAGTGAGAGGGTGCTGCAGGGAGAAAAACTCAGCCCCCTTCTGTTCAACTTGTATTTATCGGACTTTGTATCCTTCTTTCAAGCCAGGGGTCCCAGAGGTGTTGATATTGACGATGGGAACGATGTAATTCTCTTCTTATATGCTGACGATTTAATAGTCCTGGCCAACAACTCTGTGGAACTCAAAAGAAGAGCGAAAATCCTTGAAGAGTACTGCACGACCATCGGGCTTACCATCAACATCAGCAAAACGAAGGTACTAGTATTCAGAAGAGGGGGAGCTCTGCCTGCCAGAAACCACCAGTTCAAACTTTATGGTAGCGTCGTAGAGATTGTCAGCTCCTATGTCTACCTCGGCATTAAGCTCAGCTTTTCTAGTCTGGGCGGCGGCGCTACCAAAGTGGCCATTGCTAAAGCGGGTGCTGCCTCTGCTTTAGTAATCAGGATCATCTCAAAAATCAACGCGGCTCCTGGGAGGGTATCAGTAAGCTCTACGTCAGTATCGTCCAATCGATCCGCGGGTATGCCGCCTGTATATGGGCCCTGAGGGACCTGGACAACCTGGAGATTGCTCAGCTCAGATTCCTGAGAAGGCTTTTCCACCTGCCTAAGGATAGTTTGCGTGGTTGTAAAGCAGACACTGAATGACAACCGCCTACCTAGAATTTACCTGCTGAGAATCATTGCACTTGATAGATGAGGAGCTCCGGATGCTCGCTACAACTGGATTTCTTAACTCAAATCGCTCTTGATGGGGATAGACTGCGGCGACCTGTGGTCCAATCTATCATCAACTACTGGGAATGGAGATCTCCGGACATTTTGGAGGAGTATTACACGAAAAGGAGATTCGATAATTATCTGAGATACTGCAGTTCTTCGTCCATTCAACTGAGAGTTTTGAAGAATCCTCTTGACAGCTTTGAGTCATTCTACCCTGGCAGATATCCTCTACCCTTTACCAGGCTGAAGATGCAGCTAAGAATGCTCTCAACACATTTAAGACGACTAATTATTGGCGACACACTGTATCATTTTGATCCTACCCAAATCTATACTCTCTGTAATCTTTGGGCTCTGGAGGATCTTTCGCATATTCTGCTCGATTGTCCCTTTTACGCTCCGCTGAGATCTCACTACCTGCCGAAGTACCTGTGAAACTCTGGATGCCGCTCTATGTCAAGCCTTTCTGCCTTTCTCAACACAAATGTCTGGAGGAATATTAAAATAGTTTTTTGTTGCTTTAAAAAATGCTTTCAGCTTAGAGCCTCTGAACTTAACGACTGATAATTACAGTTTATTTTTCAATTTTTTGCTTTCAGAATCGACTATGTCTAGTTGTCGCTCTGAGGTTCTTCTATCTAGTACCTGAGCCAGGACGTTATCGAACTCTTAAACATTGTTGCGCTGAGTTGTATCTATTGCTGTTAAATAATTGGATAATTTTCACGAGTCTTTATCTACTGTCCAATTTTCATAAATAATTTATCAAATAAAAACTTTCATATTCAGGGCCGCCCCCTGCACAAATGATACCATGTATCAATTCACAGTAATGATAATAATTTAAACATTGTAGGTCTGAGTTTGAATCTCGATATTGAACTGTTAAAAAACATTTTAAAAATCTGAAAAAATAATTGCAAAATTTATCTTTGGAGGAAAATGGTTGAAATAATTACAAAATAGCAATTTTTGAAAATTACGAGCATTTTTTATGAATAATTTATAAACAATTAATTTTCTACCATAAAAATCACTCGTTGGGAATCGTAACAAATATATTCATATTTTGGATTTTACCAGAAATCGATTTCATGCCTAAAAAACCAAGCTTTCTGAAAGTTAGAACACTTCCAATTATTTATTTACAAAAAACGAATGTTGGAAAAAATAATAATTCTGTGCACAATGTAATTTGAATAAGGCTGAATATTCATGAATTTTGTCAAATTTTTCTCACGTAACTTAATTGACAAATTTGATCATTGAAAATGTTTGAATCTATAGTGCGATTTCTACCAATCTGTAAAAGAAGCTAGGATATTCTTCAATTTTGAAAAATACATAGAAATAAAGAAGGAAGCCAAGTCAAGAATTCTGAATAAATGATGACAGTGCACAATCAGGTTTCTATAAGAAAAATAGTTCTTAATGGAATAAGTATTCTAAAAAAATTCTCCATGAAATAAAAAATCAGTAGGAGCAGGACCAACGGCCTTGGCGCGGATCAAAGGATGGAGGATTAGAATGATACAGACAGTGATTTGAAAAACTCCACACCAAGAACGTTGGTCCTCCTCCTACTGATTTTTTATTTCATGGAGAATTTTTTTAGAATACTTATTCCGTTGAGAACTATTTTTCTTATAGAAACCTGATTGTGCACTATCACCACCCTGGTGATCTAGGAGCCACGGTACTGGCGTGGCTGTTGTGTGGCTAATAGGATTGTCATTTTCTGGAGCTAAAAAGGGGGAAATGATATCTGAAAACACAATAAACGTGGATAGACGAATTATTAGTTTATATTTGCACTGTTTATAACATTGTTTTCTATCAATTGATTGAAATTAATGTGAGTGTATATAATGGAAAAAAAAGACCCGTAGGGAGAATGCCGGGAGATAGCAGCAGTGTCGATATCCCAACGGGGTCGGTCAAGTTGACAGGATTCGCAGCCAGAATAAATGAGACCCCAACAGAGGTGGGGCGCCACGGTCGATTCAAACGGCTGGGCGAGCTGCCTGTGCCGGTAACTCGGCAGTAGGGCCAGAAGTAGAATATCCATGGATTTTTGGAGTGGGGGACAAGCATATGAGTGGGAATTACGTAGAGTGGGGGTATCCTGGGCAGGGAAAACGTCTGCTAGAAGCCCTATAGGAGTCCCGCTGTCACAGGGGTAGGTTCGAAGGCGGGTTTATGTCCTCGTTGTCCTCAATGTTTACTTTATATTTTTCCGTTGATTCATTCGCCCGCTAATTAATATTAAGGGATGAGACGGGGACTTTTCGATGGGGAATTAGATTCCCCATCTATCAACCCCCGTTTCATCCCTTAATCTTTGTTATAAAAAAATTGAAACTGCGATGAAAATCACGGTGCTATGAGAAACCCAATGGTTTCTCGGCGCAGAGTGCCACCCCAATAATTCGCCCGCCAATTAATAAATCGTCTCTCCCCTCCTAATTAACATTAAGGAATGAAACCAACGCTGTTCGGTGGAGAATTAAATTCCCCATCCAGCACTGCCCGTTTGATCCCTTAATCTCTGTAATAAAAAAATAAAAACTGCGACGCAATTTACGGCGCTATGAAAAACTTAATGGATAACTCGCCCGCCAATTAAAAAATCGTCTCTCCCCTCCTAATTAACATTAAGGAATGAAACCAATGCTGTTCGCTGGAGAATTAAATTCCCCATACAGCAACCTCCGTTTCATCCCTTATTCTCTGAAATAGAAAATTAAAAACTGCGACGCAATTTACGGCGCTATGAAAAACTTAATGGATAACTCGCCCGCCAATTAAAAAATCGTCT